TGAGAGCACCGCAGATTTCTGATGTCATGGGGCTATCGCACCATCACGTTTCTTATTGGGGCGTTTCTTACGTTGTGGCCGAGATTGAGCTATGTTTCATAGCCCTTTTTTCTTTTTTTTCGTACAAAGTTGAGCCTTTTTGCTAACAGAATTTTTCTTAACTGCGGGCGCTATCTGTATTTGTACGCGAAGGGAAGGGGTGGCGAGTACCGTGAGACGCAGTACCTTCTTTCGAAGACCGTTCATTCGTTTAATCATGAAACTCAACAGAGCCGTAGAGCCAAGCGGCGGGGGGAGGTTCAGGGAACTCTTCGCGATATGTGGAAGGAAAAGGCATCAGGCAGGGTAGCTTTTGGTCTCCGCCAGGACAGTGATATGTACTACTGGTGTTCCTCGGTGCGACGCTGAAATACGCTCGTTTTTTTTTTGTTTCACAAGAATGAGATAAATATATGTCTACTTTGACTTTCCTCCTTCTTCCGCTGCCGGCTATGCAGTACATTAACTAGTTGGCCAAGTACAAACTGGGGTACTGTACAAGTAGTTATTTTCAACACGTCCCCGACTGCTGTACATCTCATTTCAAGTATTGTCAATATGGTCGACGTCAACAAACGGTTGCCAGTCGTCTCGGCGATGCTGACTTTTCGTACCACCCCCTTTTCTTAGCAAAAGACGCGTAGTTTGAGGTATAGCATGCCTCCATTGGCCCCGGGGATGGTGAGCTATCGTCCCCTGAATTTTAAGGACGCAACCCCGCTTTAAGGACGCTTTTTTTCAGGAAAAACCATGTGCGTCCTCAAAGCGGGGTCGACTGCACTACAAGCCTCTTGTAGCGGGTGTTTGCTCCCAGCGTGTAGCGATCGCCTGTGTTGCTTCCCCTGCCCGGCTGCCGTCCTCTCCCGCTTTACGACCCGCTCTCTCTCGTGTGCTCGTATTCACTCAGCTGATGATTTCCTGATCGCATGTGTTTCCCTTGGAATGTTTTATTTTTTTTTGCCACGCCGGTTGATTCGTTTGCAAGACGATGAAGAGCTCGAGTGGCTCATCACCGCGGAGGAGGATCAAGGTGTCAAGCGCAGTGAGAGGTGGCGAGAAACGCGGAAACCGAGTACCACCGACTCCTCTTTTGATAAGTCAATGCTCCAGGTGGGTGTGAGACGGTATTGGACCTACACGCACGATTGTATGTTCCGCCCCTTGACTGATTTTCGCACGAAACGGCAATGCAACTGGGACGGGGTTGCCGTTTCCATGTACCAACGGTTAAGAGGGTCGATGCAGGATACATGTTCATTCTTCCACACCAGCAGGCAGGCATGATAGTATTCGTCCCGTATCGTACCGTCAAGACACACCCACAGCCAGGAAACCTATCCGTCCCGTAGGCCACGGTGGAAAGATGAAAAGCCCCTTGCAATTTTGTGAAACGGATGTAACCAGTGAATCATGGAAAGAGCTCGAAGTTACCTCCCGAAGAACTGACCACGGAACGCGTAACCGTACCGTACACTGTTGCTCTTGGAATGGGCGACAGCAACTGAATGCGAAGGGTGTACGGAACAACGCAGCAAATAATCTCTAGTTTACGACCTCCGCGACACAATGTGTGTGTTCTTTTTTTCTTCCCATTTTCTTCCTTGCCACCTGGTGTCTTCTTTCGACCCTAACTCAACGCTACTATTATCGTCCGACAGGCAGGAAGGGAGATTATCAAGGACCGCCGTTTGGAGGTGTCCCTCAAGATCGTCATCAAGATGGGCGAAGAGAGCTCCAACGTCTTACCAAGCTGCACGAGCAGCTAACCGAGCAGGTGGGTGGTGATGCGCGTGAGTTCACTTCCTCCTTTCCGCCAAGGCTGCAGGTACCCTACTCCAAAAGTTCACCGTAGGTGCATGTATGACAAATACCTGATGCATACACTTCCTTGCAGCATTGTTCAGGTCTAAACCCAGCTTGCCCTTCGCTAATCGTTAGTTCCTGCTCCAGCATAGCTCCCATTCTATCCGTTGAAAAAAAACTACTGCACATTTTCCTATACTGCAGACCGGCAGTGCTCTGTAGGGTTATCTCTCTTTACTTCCCCGGTCTGGTTCGCCTCGTACGTTAAGAAACAAAAAAAGAAATATTTATTTTCTCTGACACCTCTTCTTGGATAAAATGTGGTTGTTCGTCTGTCCGTGTACAGTTGTTACCATCCTAGTACAACCCAACGTAGCCATTTGCCCTGTATCTCGTCTGTCTTCCGCACCTCTGTACTTGCTGCCCTTGTGAACTCGTTTCGTTTTTTGTCCGTTGTGCTTCCCTGAGGAACTGACGGTGTGTCGTGTAGGCTCCTACTTTTTTTGTCAACCTCATGAGTTGCTAATGTTTGCTGCTGTTGCCTCCCCTCCCCCCCCCTACACCTTTGCCTTTACAACCAGGAGAATCCCTCACAATCCTCATCGGTGACGACGACGACAAGGCCAACACGGCGGCAGAGATGGACCACCTGGGCAAGGCCAGGGGCATGGCCGAGGCGGAGCTGCGGTATGCCCTCGAGGGCATCTCCGCTGGGAAGGAGAGGATCCGCGCCTTAGGGGACCTGATGAAAGAGGAGTGTGGTCGCAGGGGCAAGATGTTTGGAGAGAGCAAGACCGCCCTGGAGACTGTCATCGGTGAGCACGGTGGTAGTAAAGTTACATGAGGCCAGCTAGACTTGGGTGGGTGGTGCCACATATTGTTGACGCCAGTTTGTGTTATTGACACCTACACACCTGTGAACACGTTTCGGTGTTACTTTTCTGGGCGCATGAGTTGGTGTCCCACAGGAGGAAGGCTACAGAAGCATTCTTTTAAGTTGTGCTGCTGTAGATGCAGACTGTCATTTCCAGCCAATAAATATACACAGTTCCTCCAACTTGTCTTTACTTTCTCTTTTTTTTACCTTGGGTCCATGCAGTACTGTGGCGGTAGAAATGTGAGCGATGGTTAACAAGAAAACGACACACGTTGAAGTTCCTTTCTTACCACGACGACACATATGTTCCAGTCGTTACTTTTTTTTTTTGCTCTTTCAGCAAGTGAGTGTGGCCAAGAAAGGTATGATGTTTGTTTGTTGGTTCTTCTCTCGCGCTAGACGTGTCCTGGACACACTCACTCACATTCATGTGTGCTGCTGCTTTCTTCGCCGCCACAAGCAGGGAGAACACCAGCGGGGCAAACACCAGCGGAGAAAACGTGAAACATGAGCGAAGAAAACCGACAATTGGGACAACTCCGACAAATGGAAGAACCCCACTATCACATCACTCTGCGTGTGTATTTGACGACGTCCCCTCCCCCCTACCCGTAACCCTTTCGATGCATGCCAGGCATCACGGCGAGCGTAGAATCGGCCAGAGCGCTCGTCGCCCCCGCCCGGGCTAGGAGCGGCCTCGACAGCATCGAGGCTTCCGCTAAGGCAAATGTCCGAGGGACTCAGCCAAACGATGTGAGAGCTAGACTACGGTGGTCATGGAACATCGCTCGGGTTCTATTGCAAGTGTAGCAGAAGTGGGGAAGGGCGCACATCGTTAGATTAGGGCAGGGGAAACTGGGAGGGGTTGGAGGCTCTTACCTGCTGTAGTTCTTGACATTTTCCAAGTATTTGTTTTTATGCTGTGGTTTTGTGTCTCCAATGTACTTGTTCGTATGCCTCGATCAAACCACGTGACTATTCCATTCGCCCCCCCACCCTTCACGCGACTCGCCGAATATCTCACGGCGCTTCGCGCTTGGTGATGTGATAGCCTGGTCCGGTGAGAACCCGGCGTGCTCCGTCCCGGCTTTGTAGGAATGCGAGGTCAATGGTCTAACGCTAACGACTACGGCATGCACGACTATGAGTACCCCCACCACCACCACCACCATGGTTGTTGCTGTTTCTTTTCACGCGTGGTGCAGGGGGGGCTGTCAGTCCGCGCTTGAGCGGATGGAGAAGTGGCGGGGTCGCACGGAAGCGCTGCCCGAATACATCAACAAGGCTCACAGGCTGCACAACACATGCACCACAATGCGAGAGGGGTGTGTGAGTTGGAAACTTTTTTCTACTGCAGCTCTGGACGTTGATTGTCCAACATCACAAGTTGTTGTTGTTTCTGTCCCTCTTGTGCAATGCACACATGTCCTCCTTGTGCAATGCACACATGTCGTTCGAATGTCTCGATCCCAACCTCGTGTCGTTTCCATTCGCGTCCCCCCTCCCCCCCCCCTCACTATGGTTGTTACTGTTATTGGTAACGCCTTGTGCAGGAGAGATTGTCAGTCCGCGCTCAAGCGGATGGAGAAGTGGCGGGGCCGTAAGGAGGCCCCGTAAGGAGGCCCTGCCGGAATGCGTGAAGGTAGGTGTGGCAGGGTACCCGTGATGAAGATGTTTTTTTCTTTTCTCGCGAATAACATATGGATAAATTAAAGGCGTTTTTTGCTCTCGAATGTGAGCTACGCGCGCAAACCAGCGAACGAACATCTCGCTGATTTTAGTACAAACCAAGCATTCTGCTGCTGCTGCTGCTGTTGCTGCTGCTGTGCGTGTTTGCCCGATGTGGTGGGTTTATTCCCTCGAGCGTCATACGCTGTGTCCTGCCCTCAATCGCTTCATCAACCGCCCCTCTCCGCAACACAGCACCTTGAATCTTGTTCGTCCGACCTTGCACAAACACCCCAATCTATCCGATCACACTGTGCTTGTTCACTTTCTTGCGCCTATCCTGTCAAAATAAACTAAAATAACAGTACCTCTCCGACGAAGAAGCCGCCTGGTTCGAGCGGGAGGCCGACGCAAACGACCAGACGCTGCGGAGCACGCAATCTCTTATGCCGGTGGGCGTGACCGGCCTGGCGGTGGCTTTGCTCGAACAGGCCGCTATTGATGGCGGTTCCCTATACCCGAGGGAACGCTCTCTGCGCCTGAAGGTGATTGGAGTGAGGTTTTGATAAGAGGGAGGCATGCATGCGAATAGTCACGGTCCTTACATCGCACCAAGCCTTCACTACCTTCCCATGTCTAGGAAAGAAAGTGAACGGCAGCAAGCAACACGGCACCTCCCCACCCTTCTCGGCCTCCATTTTAGACCCGAGCTAGGCCCCTTTTGTCTTGCATTGGCATTTTTTTTTTGTTGAATCGGGGAGTAGCGGGGTATACCAAGTCATTGTTCGACAGCTACGAGCAAGGACAAGTGCAAGAGAGACTTCCCCCTGCTCCGGTAAAGCACACCTCTTCTGCCATCAACAGCAACCCTGGACGCTTGTCAATCAATCATCCCCTGCACCAATTATTTTCACCTCCCCGTCCTTGGGTGTTTGCGGTGCTTCATTCGATTGGTTGTGTCTCGCGTGCTGGTCGTTCGTACAGTCATCCCCGACATAACCTATTGTATTATTGCAGTATAGGAGAACCGCCTGCTCCAGTGGGCGGTGATGCACCCGGAGGACATCGCCAGGAGCAACTTTGGGCAGGGCGCCCACGCCCACTTTTTCACGAACATGGGCAAGGTACGTACTGTATGAGGAACAAACGTGAAGGGGGGAGGGGGCCACTCGCATCATGGTATGGAATTTTGGTTTGCATAATATAATGAGACCACTCCCGTGTGCCGCACAATTTGACACAGATGCATGCATATGCATACCAAACTCAATTACTTACCAAATCATATTCCTCGCGTTAAATGCATACCAAACTGGAAATACACGTGTAAAATGGATGGAGATCCACAACCAACAGGGTGCCACACATAAAACACCCGACTAACTAACAGCCCAACACTTTTCGTCTACACCTTCCCAACATAACATATATAAGACACACAACACAGCTACCAAACTGTCTTGTTGAGCCTGTTATCCGCAGGGGAGATGTCCATATATGCTGTCTGGGAAATCGTGGACACACAACAGGTAGTTTTCTTTGACGCTATGATTCCATTGCTAATCTGTCTTTGACTCTTTTCTCTGACGGAGATGGACTCGTTGTGTTGTATTTGGAAAAATAAAAAAATGATGTCTTGCATACGGGGAGGGAGGGTGAGCGGAAACAATCCATCCCGGAATCTTGTCTTATCTGCGCAAGAGATTGGAACCCGCGCGATCAATTCTCTGTGTTGAAAGGACTTTGTTTCTCTCTTTCTACCATTTGTAAATTTGTCCTGACCGGCTGCACCACGAGGAAGACGTAGGCGGTGGACTACCTTATTTGGTCTTGTCTTCGAGAGAAGTAACTTTGACACATGCATATGGAAAGAACGAGCGTTTTTTCGCAAGTTATCCACAACAGTAAACAAACCAAGCACCACCACCCGCGAAAAAAGTGTAACGCCAATCAACTAATGTTCGTTGCGCTTCTTGTTCGCCGTGGATGTTACTCTACTGTCATGATGTCATGATATCATGATATCTATCTTGAAGTGCGATCTGGTGGAGGTTGAGGTCGATCCTGGCGTGCGTTCCAGCCAAGTTCGAGGTCGACGGTGACGGTAGGAAGATCGCCTGGAGGGCCGAGTTCGTGCGAAGGGCGAAGGGTCTTGTAGCGCAGGTGAGGTCAGCCAGAAAGAAACACATGGAGATGAGAGATGAGACTGTGAGAGAGATGGTCTACACGCCCAGGTGTTCGCTCCCAACAAGTGCTCTGCAGCAGTATTCGGCAAAATGAGTGTTGGGTTGGCGTGACATCCCTTTTGCTCTGGTTGTCCAAGTTGATTTTACCACTCTTTCGTGTCAATTATTTTGGACGCGCCGCTACGTTCGTGACCTCGGCTCCCAAGCCGTTCCTCCTCAAAGTTGCTTATTTTGAAGGGTTGAGATTTTGAGATCAATTTTTGAGGCCAGGATATTTGCCGCGCTTGACAGCTCCTGACGAACGTCGCTCCGAGTACGGAAAAGCCTGGTTCACGAAGGAAGAAAGGCCACACAGGCCACCTTCACCTTCCTGCTGCCTACCGTATGTGACTGTTTTCATTCCAATCTCGAGAAGGGTTTGACTATTTCTTTTCCTCGTCGACCGTGAAGCCAACGAGTTTCATGTGTACCACACACCAATTGAGAAACGCTGTCCGCTTATTTTGTGTATGGCACGCTAGTACAACTTTGTTCATCCACAGCACAAGCTGTTCGCCAGAACCTGGCATTGACCAACACCACAAAAATCGCACACGACCGCTCCCTATTTTTCTGTCATGATGCTCCTTGGTTTTCCAGGAGAGGGGCGACACAGTGAGCGGGGGGTGGGACCCCGAGATCTCGGCCAGGCGGCAAGTGCGCCTCGCCGAGCTGAGCGCCGGGCAGGCCCGGAGGGAAGAGTACTTCTATCCGACGGCGGCGGAGGTGCAGGCAATAGTGGACAAGCTCGAGAGCGGCAGCACAGGCTGGACGCGAAGCAGGCCGAGTTGGCCGAGGTCAGTTGTTGTTGCGCTGTTGCTACCATTTGTTTTGGGTAAATGTGCTTCGTGTGCGCGTGTCCCCCGGCGCGTGAAGCATGTCGCTCTCGTTTGGTGTCGTTGTACGATCGTTGGAATCGTGGCTTCTACATGGCTCAGAGAACTATTCTGTTTCGGGTCCCAAAATGCTGCTTTTTGTTGGACTGGCATCAAATCGATGCATTCGCATCACCCCAGAGACTCAAGGGTCTTCTTGGCCAAGAGCAAGCATCACGACCAAAGGTATGCAAAACCGTCATTCGTCATTGCTCATTCTCACTTGTCACATCCATCCATCTCCGCCGCCCTCACTACCACTGTACCTCTTTGTTGTCGCCATCAGGTGCGGGACGAGCTTCTCCCCGAGGCCAGACAGGAATACGCCGACGTCCTCGAAGACACGAGGCACCCGTTCAAAAAGAAGACGAGGAAGCCGGAGGATCTCCGGAGGGCACGAGAAGAGGCCAAGTCAAAAGTAAACAGGTGGGGTCTTTACAACATGCACGTAGCTTTTATCCAGGATTGGTTAAAAGACTATGCACTGTGTATGTGGATCAAGTATCACGGCGACGTGATTTCATTTCTAACGAGGAATCATACGACTACCTGCAGAAAAAGGTCAAGTGCAGTCCGCCTTTTGGAAAACATTAACGCTGACGGGTAGGGTGATGTGTCCTATACTAGTTTTTTGTCGATAAATGTAGTCGCCATTCCGCACGAAAATCAGCCTAGTATCTCTCGGACCGGCCCGTAGTATATCTCTCAGACCTGCCCATTGACACTTGAACTTGCGGTTCTCATGCAAACAAAGAGAGCACACCGTGCATATCCACCACCAACAAACCAGAGAACGGCACAAGCAATATCGTGGCGCCCAAAATAAATTCTTGGTTGTTTCGATTTTTTTTTGCGACAGAGCCTTAAACCTTTCCCTCTTCTCCCCCCTCAATCTCTCGTATAGCAGTACTTGTACTCAAAAGGTGAGTTCGAGACGGGGCCCAGATAGCGAACCCCCCACCCCCTTGGTTCTTTCTGTCTGCCGCGCTTGCCTGACTTGTCTGGAATTTTATGTTTCAATGGCCCTCTTGACCCCACCCTTTCTCTACGCCGCTGTACCGAGATGAAAGCGAGGCGTCTAGAACATGGCAATTCGTGTACACAGCAACAAAAATGTCGTGCACAAGCCTTGACGTCCCAAGTCTCGAACCGGGCGCTCGATTAACTCACCTCCATGGTGATACAGTATGCAAATAAAAAGACATAACTGGTACCTCCCCCCCCCCCCCCCCCCCCCCCCCCCCCCCCCCCCCCCCCCCCCCCCCCCCCCCCCCCCCCCCCCCCCCCCCCCCC